ATTTACTACCTTGAGTTCAACATAACCACTCCTTTCATTGGTATCAGAGTCTTTATATTTTACTGCCATAGTCTAGGATTTTTTTATTTTTTTGAGTATAGAAATATGACATTAAAAAGCTTTTTGTCTGAGTTTATTAAATCTGAAAGATTTTGATGGACTGCAAAATTATTCTTATTTGTAGCCTTTATTCAATTTCGAATGATGTATATTATAGTTATAGTTTTAGAGTTTATTTCTGGGGTTTTTAGGGTTTTTAGGAATTGAAGGGTTTTTTGTTTAATGACTGCTATTCACGAGTACTGTTCACAAGGGTAAAACTGTCATTACGAATTTTAAGTTAAGTTAGGATATATGGGTCATTGTATTATTTGTTTGGACACTTTTTGTACTTAATACATTAAATTAGAATATATAAAAAGTGTGTGAGGCCTTAAGGGGGTCAATTCCAAATGATTTTTAGAAATTGAACGAGAGAAAAGCTTAGGCTTTTGGAACCCTAGCTTGTTGTATGGAGAAGAAACCCTAGGTTTCTTGGAATTGAGCTTGTGTTTGGCTTTGTTTCTTGCTAATTTTACAACTTCTTCAAATTTTCCTACATCAATTTGGTATCAAAACCCACAATCTACAAGGAAAAATATTGTAGCAGTGTTTTGTAGCACCTTATAGAGTTACTGTAGCATCCAGTTTTTGGTGCCTGCCCTAGGTGAACAACAAAGCGAGGAAGTTATAGTGGGGGTCTAGGGTTTGCTATTTTTTGCCAAAGTTGTGCCAAAACAACATAGATCTTGCTGATTTCGACAGTTGTTTTGTTGATTATTTGCCTATAGTATGTGATTTCGGCGAACCCATGGCAGCAAGAAGGGGCCGTAGAAGGGAAATTTTCGTAGATCTACTCCGTAATGCCATAGATGACATAATTGAGAAATTTGAAAGGCAAGTACAACTCCTGCCACAGCAGTTTACGAGAGTCAATAATGGGCGAAACGGTGATCTTTCAGCCCAAAAGGATCTCGAGTACAAGTTTTTTCACTTTTGTGCTCCACGTATGGAATCGGGTGATGAGGATAGGGATAGACGACCTAGACGTGGGGAACATCACTCTAAGGTTTTTGAATTGAAGGATGAGATTTTTTTTTTGACACATTATATAAAAAATCAGCAAGTTGTAGATTGAGATTCACCACCAATCTTTGACATATATTCAAATGAACAAGAAGATTTCTTAGAGGATCCGATCTATCAAGATGATGATGAAGAGATCTCGGAAAAGGGTGAAGAATATGGAGATAAGGTAACAAGAGGACTGATCTAAATCACGGCCTTTGTATATTTCATTAATATCGAAGAGGTAGAGCATTTAAGTGATTTAGGGAATTGGAATCAAAGTAGTGCAATGGAAGTGTGGTAGACTCATGGACCACAAATTGTAGCCCTGATTTTAGAAAGTGATGAAAGAGATGCTGAGAAGACCTCTAAAGACTAGAAAATTGTGTTCGAAGTTTTCCACACAATTTTCCTACATCAGATTTGATGAGAAGAACTATGCTAGTTGGACGAGAAAGATGGCCATGTCCTTTTCGATGAAGGACTTCGTCAGATGCTTACTGATAATCCCCACCTGCACCAAGAGATAATGTTTATGAAAAGCAATCCATAAGGGATGCTTAAGCTCAATGGCGAGCAAAAAGACACTCTAGAAAAACAAGTTCTACTAATGGCCATGGATGATACCCTGCTCTTGAGTATGAGCCCTTGAAGACTGCAAAGGAGATACACGAACGACTTGGGGCTGATGATGCCACTCCTCTCACTAGAAAATCAATGGCTATAAAATAATATTCAGATTTGAAGATGGAGGAGGAAAATTGGCTAAACATAGACAGCAATTCAAAGCTTTAGTTTGCGAACTCGAGACTGCACAAATTAAGCGAGATGAAAACATGCAAATCTGTCAGTTGTTGAATTCTATGGCAAGCTCATGGGAAAGCTTCATTTCACCCCTCACCGCAAGAGAGAGCATGCTGAAGTTGCATGAGATTATCACCAAGCTTAAAGCCGAAGAAGAAAGGAGATTGACTCGCGATGCTTCAGCCTTAAATGACTCCATAAATGTGGTAAATCTTAAACCCAACTCTGGTTCATTCAAGAAGAAGAAGGACAGGGGAAAGAATAAGAACAAAACCAATGAGAAACAAAAGGGGAATAACTGACCTAAAAAAAGGAAGAATTTAAAGAACTATGAGGGCCATAACTTCAACAAATTTGAGCACATTGGGAAGTATTGTATAGCACCCAAGAATATAAATCTCAAGAGCGATAGGGAGCATGCTTGTGGGTTCATGGTGTTTTGACTCAGGGTCCACTGCCCATGTGTCAAATAGCAAGGATGGGAGATAAGATGAAATCCACAACTGGTTATGTATTCACACTTGAGGTGGAGTTCTTTATTGGTGCTCAAAGAAACAAGATATTGTTGCACTCTCGACTATGGAATCAAGAGTATGTAGCATGTTGTCTAGCGGTTAAAGAAGCAGTCTGGTTGAAAAAAACTCCTAAATCAACTCAGATTTGATCCAATGAAGTGCTCGTGCGTTATAATCTTCTGCGACAACCAGGCAGCTATTTGTGTGACAAAAGAGCCCAGGTTCATAGAAATCGAGGCATATAAAGCCATGCTACTACCACATTTGCAACAAGATCCGAGTAGGTGAGATTGAGATTGCTTATCTCTTGACAGAAGCTATGTTAGAAGATCCTTTAATGAAATGATTGGTGGCAAATGTTTTTACCAAACACTTACAAGGGATGGGCTTGAGGGAAACTGAGTGATTGTACGGCCTTCAAAGGCCATATGAGAGATATTGGGTTTTGTGGCCTTTAAAAGCTTAGAGAGCTAATAAAAATGATAACTCTATAGTGGAATATACAGTTAATGGGAGTGTGTGTTAATTGACCATGGGTTGGGCGGTTTACGGCCCTAATTGTCCAAAACCCTTACTCTTGGACATGTGTCACTACTGAGAATAGTTTACAGTGGGTCATCTCTTGTTGAGGTCAAAGAGAAGCCTAGGAATGATATTTGTAGGCCAGGGTAATTGTGTAGTCTTTTACGTTCAGCTATAAGCATGTGAGAGCAAGGGCCAAAAGGCTCAACAAACATCCGCACGACATGCACACATGACAACCACAACACTGGTAAGCAGTCATATAGAGGGACACGTGTAGATGTGCATAGAGAGAGCCTCCCCTTTGTACTATAGTGGCAAGTGTTGCCGTCTTGGACTTGTTATCAAAGGAGGGGACAGAAATCCACATTTCAGGATTATGGTTCTACTGACCAATTTTGTCAACCCAATCATGAATGGAGACTGTGGGTCATGGGTCTTGTAGGGTTGGATGAGAAAACAGTAATGGATCATGCTTTTTGGGTTAAGAGGAGTGCCCTTATTGTCGCTATTTTAACCCATTGGTACCAATCCACTTTTAAATATTTTACTTTTGGTATTAGAAATGTTTTTATATTGTTATAAATCTTCAGAATTTTAAAACTTTATTTCAGCTGTAAAATATCAAAAAGGGTAGTTTCGAAATTTTCAAAACAAAGAAAGGCACATGTAGGGACCTAGGATCCAATCCCCACATATGTGTGCCAACCATGAGTGGGACGTGTGGCCTTGTGGGGCCCACATCATGTCCACGGCACTTTTAGTTAAAAGTTTAGTTAGTTAAGGAAGCTTTTAAAATTTAATAGATTTGTTCCCTATTCAAGTGGAAGTTTATTTCTGACCAAAATAAAAAAGATTACCTTTGACTTCCTATAGATTTTGTAAAGGTATTAGGAAGATCTAGATAATACTAAAAGTGGTATAATTCTAATTTTAATAGAAGTTGGACTTGGTTAAATTATAAGGGGGTAAGGTTCTTAATTTCCACCCAAAATCATGATGGCTGATCTGTTGGATGGATGACTCAAATTTTCTCTCTCACTCCCATGGATTTCCTAATATCCTAATAGTCGAGGTGAGTTTATTAAAGAAGGCATACTTAGAAGGAAGCTTATTCCAAGTGGAAAAAAATTTCCTTCTATTTAACTTCTATTTGAACCTCTCTCACATTTATGACACATCTCTCTCTCTCTCTCTCTCTCTCTCTCTCTCTCTCTCTCTCTCTCTCTCTCTCTCTCCTCCATGCCTCAGTATTTCTCTCTGAAATTAAATCATGTCTCTCTCCCCCCTTTGTTCATAAGGGCCACACGACCCAAAAGAAAGAAAAACAAGGTGGCACTTTTGAAACCCTAGGTTAGTACTTTGTTGTTTTTTAAAAAAAGAGAATATCGCCAGCCAAGAGAGAAATAAACGCTAAAGACTAGCCCTAATTTGATCCTATAGGGTTCCTACAAATAAATAGGTTTCTATGTTGCCCTAGATTGAAAAAGGTATTGCTTGAAAAGCTTCCCTATCTCAAAAATTCCAGTACGACCCAAAGGATGCGTCATTGGTTAGGGAATCAAGTACGGGGTGTATCAAGCCCTGTGAGGATGACTCCAGGCATCATCTAGTAAGTCTTTCTGGTTGTTTTAATTATTTTTAGTCATATTCTATATTTTCTGTGAATTTCCAGGAACATATTTTATACTTAAAATTCTAGTAGAAGATTGGTTATTGCTCCTGGATGGTGTTTATTTGTTTTGGCAGTAAAAGCAAAGATCCTAGGTTGGATTTAGGGTTTTAATTTTGATTTAAAGTAGTGTATCGCGACCTATGTAAGTGAAATTCAGGTATAATGAATAAAAGAAAAAAAAAAAATTGAATTTACTACCTTGAGCTCCACATAGCCAATCCTTTCAAAATTGTCACAAAAGATTTTGCTATTATCAGAAAAAATAGTAAAAAATAAAGATGATGCATGTGGTATATTGAATAGGAAACAAATCTATAAGTATAATTTTTGCAGGAAACAAAACTCTAGCAGGCAGAAAATGTAACTTTGTTACTTACTGACTTTCACGATCTGAAGAGGAAGCTGCCCGTTCATTATCAATGCCTGATTTGTATTCGAATGAAACATATGGCTTGCTCCCGTTGGCCATCAATGACCCTTGATGCTGCAAATAATAATAATAATAATAATAACAACAACAATAATAGCAATAATTACTATAATTTATTATTTAAACATGTCCTTGGTGAGAAGAACGCAAATGATATTGAATAAATGGTCTCCTCCAATACTCCATTTGGTATACTGTTTACCGAAAAAATACATATAAAGAATGCAGAGAATGATATACCTGATCAATAACAAGCTCAATCTTCTCTTTCCAAATAAGAGCATCCTGGATGTTAAATGCAGCCATCTGATTCAAGATAAACATGCAATAAATAATGTCAAGGTCATCACAAATGTAAGAAGGAAATGTTCCCAAGAAAAAGGAATGACTGATAAATGAACAGAAGCCCTTTATTTGAAATTTAAACAATGAAAACAGCAGAAACACCAAAGTATGGAGGCCATCAAATAGACAATCTGGAATTTCTGTGAGCGGCATCTTCAGCCAGTTGTGGCTTGTTCTGTCAATCCCCCACATTTCCTATGTATGAATGTGCAGGAGTATATGATTATTTTATCTATATGTGCAAATTTATACTAATTCTCTCCGTCCCCCTCCTAACGACTATTATGATGTGAATGTTATCATGTAACTATCACTTCTTGTGTACACATAATTCCCTTCAGTTATCTCCTTTTAGATATGATTTTACACTTCCTTTAAGACATTTACATGCATTCCAGCTATAAGACTCTTATAGGCTAGAGTCAACATGCTCTCAAAAAAAGACTTTTATGCATAAGGAAAGGCCCTGTGTCCATGAAATAACATATCCTTGTGCCTAGGAGAAAATAAATGATCAATCACAGGAACAAATAAGCATAAAGATAATATTTTGGACAACCCTCATAAACAAGAAATAAAGAGAACAGAAAAACATGAAGCCTGTACAGAACTGTAAATATGCTATTAGAGAAAACAATTTTAAGAAAGATAAAAATGATTGTAAGAAAGATAAAAATGTGGAATGACAGATAGACCAAAATTCAGTCTACGTGATTAATTTCACCAGCCAAGAGTAGGAAGATGATGTCATTCAAATTAAAGAAGGTGAAGATGTCTTGCAATTTAGGTCCGATCGGAGAGAGAAAGAGAGAGAGAGAGAGCATAACATGACAACGAGATCCTCCAAGAACCTAATCCTTGCACATTTCATTGGCTCAAACAAACCATGAGAGACTACCATCCTCAAGGAAAAGTTGACGAACTCACCGTTATCCGATGGTACTTCTCTTTCTTATTGTAGACAGATAGAACATAAACCATCTGTTAATAGAAAAAAATATGCAAAGATCAGAATGAGCATTCCCAAAAGCCCAATTAGGTGAATAAACAGAAGAAGGAAAAATCCCGAATGTAAAATATGAACTCGCAAATAACTTGTAAATGATCAGAAGTGCTTCAAGAACCTAATAGATAACACATTTTCATTGAAAAGGAAACCCAATAAAAGTAGTAGAAAGATGAACTGAAAGTAATGAATTGGGTTGTGTGGGCTGTAGCAGGTTTCATGGAACATCCACGAAAGGTTTGCTCGTTAACTGATGGAGAACAAGCACAACAATTGCACAGATGTAAAAAAGATAATATGTTTAGACATAAACAAAGAGCGTTCAATATCATGAAAGCAGATCCCTGAGTGTCCCGAAATCAAGTACACAGATAGCATCAATTTGTGGGGGATATGCATCTCATCCCCGACCTAGAGTATCCAAAGACAATACTGAAGAATAGTCAAAATGTAGCACACATTAAAATTTTAGGAAAAGAAGCTGTAAACTCTAAAGTTTTTCCCACATGAAAACTTATAAAACCCCAGATGAACTATTAGATTGATGGCCCATGCGCCTGGTCTCACTTCGATAATATTCTGATGTCAAATACTAAGTTGGAACAACATGAAGTATCAAAAGTACACTAATGGGATTTTTTATAAATTTTAGAAGTGTGATTTATAAGAAATTGTGTGCACGTGAATCTTACAAAATTCATGGTACTATATACAGTTTTCTATGATCCCAAAAATACTATCCCAGATGAAGTTCAACATGGAACTTTCATGGAAACAATATTAGCATGGTCTCCAAACTCAAGACCAGCATGGACAATTTGTTCTCTAAATACTTTCCAAAATAAAACAAACCCTAAGTCTGTATAGCTTACGTAGGGGCTATAGGGTTTCCTTTTCTTCTCTCCATGACCAAATTAAAGATGAAATGGATGTGCATTTAAAGGAGTAAGGGGTCTTCTTGGATTGCACTCACAATTCTGCCAAACCACCCAGACCACACAACCTAATGCCTCACTCTCCTCTCCAATAACACTATCTTACACAGTACACTATGAGGGGTTTTGAACCATGTTTCATGTATACAGTTAGTCAAACTCAACTTGAAACAAAGGACTACAGATGCTTTCGATCATTTTGAAATTACATCCATCATCCTCAGGGTGACTGCTGAAAATGACGTTAACAACTAGAGAACCAACCTCAATAGTTCACCCCATCCTGAAGAATATAGGAAAATCCGTAGGAGAGCTTAGTTTGGTTATAGGAATGAACTTTAAGTATTCAAACACATGATTTCCTTCTCGACAATCCTGGGATATCTACCACTGCGCCAAATCCTATGGGACCTGATGACATCCTATTTCCTAGAAACATCCCTCATAATGCACATGACCAATGTACATTCAAAGTATTCTCCTGCAACATACAACCCCCACAAACCAATGGTAGGAGACTCCAAGCAGTATCTGAAAATCTCATCTATAAGAGGAAACCCCATAATCCATAAAACCAAAATATTGGTCATAAGGGCACACTGTAGGGTTGCTGAAACCAGGATCTGAATACTATTGTCCTAACAATACTGTTTTCGTAATTGTTTTCTTTTATGTAAGAAGTAACTCTTAACCAGGTATAAAAAAATAGTTCAAATAGCATAAATCATTCATGCTGGTTAACCTGTAAAAGTTACTGACGTAAATTCAAATTTCAATAGCTTTTCTCTTTGAGTAAATTTGAAAGTTCACAAGTGTGTTAGAGGACCCAAAATACCTGCCAAGCTCATTGCTGCTAACAAAGAAGTACAAAACAAGGGGGATAATCAACTGAAAAGCATGACAATTGGTCTTTTACATAACCATTACAAATAAAGGGAACTAGGGCATTGCCAGAAAACATATCCAAACAGCACACTTTTACAAGCATGCTTTAGACATTAAAATAAATGTAAGCAACAAATGGTAAAGTAAACATCAATTTGTAAAGTATTATAAGAAACTCACATGCCCATGGTGTGTCTTCAACCCCCTATCCTCAACCCGGCAATTTCCATCTATTAAAAGTGTCTTAATTGGAACCTTCAAAAAACAAAAACAACCAAATGAACAGAGATCCCCAAAAGAGTTAAATTACATTAAAAAAAAAAAATTGTTGTAGACTTTCTTTTTATCGAACACAAAAAATGCACAGTTTTGAAAAGACAATAAGGGATACACGTCTCCAAAGCATGGAAAAGTAGGTGAAAATGGTAACATTAACTAGTACCCATGGTCAATAGCCTCTTAAATTGCCAATTCACATAAAATAAACAACAAAAAAGCAAGCAAACAAATACATAGTATATTGATGAACGTTATAAATAAAAATCACGGGTATTTTCATAATTTTCCATGCTGAGTATCAACAAAATAAACAGGTAAATAAGCAAACAGAAAGTAATTATAACAACAGCAATACAAATAATACTTATCGACAATAAAAAAAGCTTACATAAGATAATTAAAATGGCAGCCAAAATGCCCACTGAGATCAATTAACGAAAAAAATGAAACTAAACATAAATACCAAAGTCCAAATCTCCAACTGATAAAATGACTGTGCAACGAAATCATCCAACTAAAAATAGATACATAAATAGGCAGCCCCTCGCCTTCAATTTTGAAAATAGGTCAAATAAATAAAGAGAAAATAAAGAAAACCAAATAAACTACACATAACCCCAAATTTCAGACTCAGTGAAAAATTGCAAAAGAAACCAAAAACCCACAATCATAATCTAACTCAAAACAATCATAATCCAACTAGCAAATGTACCAGAATCTACCGCTACATGATTAAATTCCTATACCGGCATAATCAACTAATGATTCCTTAATGCACAGAAGAATTAAGAAAACCAAATAAATCAAATCCAAGTCATAAAAACAAAAATGAAAAGCTGAAGTCAAAAAATCCAATTCAGTGTACAGACTAAATGATACAAAAGAAACAAGCCATCAAACTTAAACTACATAAAAGGACTTAAAACTACTAAAAATGAATCAGAAAAACTTAATAGAATAAGAATTAATGGGAAAGAGAGAGAGAGAGATAGAGCGTACCACGTTGTCTTGGGGCTTCTTCTTGTAATAAGCGAGGAGCCTGGGCTCGAGAACAAAGTAACGCATGTGGATGAATGACCGTCCGATCTTGCGCCGGCCATATCTGACCATGAATCCCTCATAAACCACCTTCGTCATCCCAGATGACCGGGAAAAACCTAATTCCGGCGACCGGAATTCTCATTAGCCAAGATTCCGGCCATCCGACCGTAGGAGAGAGTGATACTTATACACAGAGATAGAGAGAGCAACGCCGTGAAACTCGTCGGGAAAATTAAACGGAGAAAGCAATAGAGAGAGAAACAGGTAGATTCCGTCGGAGAATAAAACGGAGAAAAAGAGAAGTGAAAATAAGGGGAAAAAAGGTTGGGGAGTTTCCCCAGATTTAAATATAAAGCGCGTGGTCCCAGATTTCCGGCGATAACGTCATATTCAGGCTTCATCGGGTCAATTCCCGGCGAGGTAATTTAGTGGCGGGAAGTACGAGGGTATTAATGGGCTGTATTAGGATGTGAAATGACTGAAGTGTCCCTAATGTTTGTAGGTACGAGGGCATTAATAACCAGAAAAGGGCATATTATTACGAAATTGACCGAAACACGTTTGTAAATGACCGCAGTACCCCTGCGTCCTTCAGTATGATATAGTTCTTCAGTAGTGTTTAACGCAAATTGTTCCTCATTTGTGCTTTAATTACCTACAAGTACCTAGGGTGTCCGATAGTTAGAAAATGTATATACGATGCTATTTATATAAGGTTACAACTTTTTTTTTTATTTAAATGTTCCAAATTTATTGATAGCAGAGAAAATTACAAAATAGCAAAGAAAAATTACAAGATATCATGAATATTAGTAGAAATCAACAACGTGTCAAACTCAACGCCCTTTTTGGCCAAGGAATCAGCCAGAGCATTTGCTTCTCTATAAATATGAACTAGGGACACTGTCAAAGAAGGAAAATGGCAAAGATCTTGTTCCCAAGTAACTTGAGTTGCTATGGAAAACGGTGTTCTCTCTTACACCATTTAATCATATTTAGGGAATCCCCTTCAACAATAATACCCTCCATACTATTTCTTGCCGCTAAAAGTTTCAATCCATAGAAAATAGCAAGAAGTTTTGCATGATTAGCCGTCGCAACTCCGCATGGCACTGCATAAGCAATAATGACATTTCCTTGTCAATCCTGAATGGCTCCTCCATAACCAGCCAGACCTGGAGTTCCCATCGAGCTTCAAAAAAGTTAAGCTTGAGTACATCAATGTCTGGTGGTTTCTTTCTAGTGACCGGTCTAAACAAATGAACATCCAATTGAAACAGGTTGGAGAGGTTAATCATGACATCTACCTTAGAGATACCCCGACCTTCTTTAGCAACATGTAGCCAATATCAAAGAGTGAGTTTGATGTTATTAAGAACCCGATCAACGCAACAAATCTTCCCATCAAAAGTTCTATTGTTTCTCTCCAACCAGACTTCCCATAAAATAACACCTCGCAAGATCCTCTAGATAGAACCACCAACCTTTGGCAAAGGCACCTCAAACTGAGTTAGTAAATCCACCACATGTTGTGGTATAGTAAGGTTAAACTCCAACCTTTTGAAGCACCAGGACCAAATCTTGGAGATAAAGGAGCCATGTAAAAAAAGATGTGCCCTAGACTCACCATCCTCCTTACACATTAAACAGACATTTGTGAAAATTTTGCCTCTCTTGATCAAATTATCCACAGTGAGGATCTTGTTTTGAGCCACGAGCCATAAGAACACTTGTACCTTATGAGGGATGGACCACTTCCAAATCATGGCTAACACTAGAAAAGACCAGTGTACTCTATCAACGAAGAATAAGCGATCAACAGATTTGACCGAAAACTATCCATCATTCTCAATTTCCCACACCACTTCATCTTCACTATGCTCCTAATAAAAGCTTGCTCTAATATTTCAAGCAAATTGATAAGTTGTTGCAAAAGAGGATTTTGAATTCTCTCATAAGGAAAGATTATATTCCAACTTACCTTATCGCCGCTAAAATCCACCAAAGCAGCAATCGTAGCCCGGGAGCAGCTAACTTTACCAAAGAGAGAAGGAAAAACATATTTTAGTGGTCCATCATCCAACCATTTATGGTGCCAAAATGACACCGCATTCCCCGCAACCCGGGATCCAACGAACATTGTGATCTACCACTTGCTTGAGTGCGTAGATATCTCATATAAGGTTGCAACCTTAAAATGTCAAATTAAATATGCACCTTAAAAATCCAATATAAAAGGTTATTTGGATGTTGGAAAACCCTCTAATTGATCATCTCAACATCGAGATTTATGAATATGAAAAGAAAAAAGAAAAAGTTTATATAAGGTTACAACTTTAAAATGTAGAATTATATATGCACCTTAAAAATCCATCCGAAAAAGTTGTTTTAATGTTGAAAAACTCTCTAATTGATCATCTCGACATCGAGATGCATGAATATGAAAAAAAAAAAGATTTTGAGTTTAAAAAATAGTGCATCTTGCAACACATTATCCAGACCGTCCATTTTCAAGATTTTCATATATTTATAGATGTACTTGATTTTAACCATTTTTTGAGTTTAAAATTTTATAATTAGATATAAAAATAGATTTTTAAATAATCCTAATAATTTTTTACACCAAAATTGCACATTATGATAAATTTTGGACGTGCGCCTTAATTGGATTGTTTAAGGTTGCAACCTTATAGAAACCACACCAAAAGAAAAATAGATTTTGAGTCCTCAAAATAGTGTATCTTACAACACATTATCTGAACCGTCCATTTTCAAGATTTTCATGTGTTTATAGATCTACTTGATTTGATCAATTTTTAGATTTAAAAATTTGAAAATTAGAGATGAAAATAGATTCTCAAGGCATCCTACAAAATTTGTATATCACAATTATATTTATGATAAAAATTAGAGGTGCACCTTAATTAGATAGTTTAAGGTTGCAACCTTATGCAAACCACACCTTTTATTTTGGAATTGGGAGATCATAATTATTATGGACTGTTAGATATATATAATATGAGGAGATTGGGATTTTATCATTGACTTGGAACAAAATTCAAAATACATTTTTTTGAATGTTGCGACGCACTTTAAATTATCAGATTTGACATCCAATGTGTAAGAATTATTGTGACTACTTTGTACCAAAAGTGAATGGCCTTATAGTATACATTCCTGTTTTTACTAGTAAGGTTTGCAGAGGATGGGGCTTTTTGTAGTCGCACATTAAATTCAACTAGAAATTAAACAACTAACTTGTCTTTATCGCCTCAACAATGTAGAACTGAAGAAAATAAAAAGAAAAAGAAAAAAAAGAAAGGGAACATAAATCCCTAGAAACGATGCATGTTGTAGCACATTATTACAAGGTATAGTTTGTATAGTGAAAGTATAAAATGAGACCCTTTACATTTGATAAAAGGTGGTCATAATTGATCATGACCATTGGATGTGAAATTGATTGGCTGCATTTATTTCCTTATCCAAGCTCAAAGTTCAAAAGAAATTTTCTCGAATTTTGTGACACACCCAAACTATCAGATTTCACATTGGATGGTTGTAAGTAATTGTAACCTCCTTGTACTAAAGGTAAATGGTCTCATTGTATGCAATCCCGCTTGTATAATGTATCAACGTTAAATAATGCAAGTAACATGCACCCTTAAAAATTGTCAAAAGATGTGATTTTGGTGTCGAAAATTTCAATGATGACCTAAACATCTAATTCACATATATGAAATTTAAAACTCTAAAAACAATACAAATGGAGCAAATCTACAAATATATTACAAGATCTGCCATTCAAGATGATCTCTTAAAGGGTTTTCAATATTAGAACAACCTTTTGCGATGGATTTTGAAGAACAATTTTTACAATATAAAATTACAATACCAACTTTTTCCTCATCTAAAATGCAAATTTTCAAGTAGACACTTTCAAGTGTTCACAAATCGTCCAAATCTGTGTTGTTGTTTTGGCCTTCGATTTCAAAACAAGGGGCAAAAATAGTTTGTCAAATCATAATTTTTCTGATGCTGAAATTGTATTTCCCAATTGGGTTTTGAAATATAGGCTTAATTTCTATTATAAAGCCCAAGCATTACACTAACCACACCTATACATTCATATTTGTGGGTACTTCATGCCATACATCATTCAAATCACTAATAAGCCAAGAGATGAAAGGAAATAAGCTCGTATCGAGGTAGTACAGGCTAAATTTTCATTATCTAACATCTCAAGTTCCATTCCTATATGTAACCTTGTGAAAAAAAAAAAGACAAAGGGCAAAATAGCAACATCATCATTTGTATGGTTGTGGATAATATTAAGACAAGGTATTTTTGCCATTCTAAAAAAATTAGGGAATCTAAACATCAACCACAAAAGAAAGCATCTTGTTTTATACCTGTTCATATCGTACCTCCACTGAACAACACCTTCAATCATTGGATACTTCTACTTGGCACATAAACTATCATTTTATCAAAAAATTTTTATGGAGAAGGTATGTATATATAAGGTTACGGTTTTATACTATTGAAGTAGGTTGCACATAAAAAATCAAGCACAAAAGAGTGTTCGGAAGTTCGAAACCTTCCAATTGATCATCTTGACCTCGAGATGTATGGTATAATAGAAAAAAAAGATTTCCAAAATTTTAAAATAGTTCTTCTTGTAACAAATTATTTGGATCATCTGTTTTTAAGATTTTGGAATGCTTATAGATATGCTCAATCTACACCAGTTTTCGAAATTTAAATTTCATAATTAAGGTTAAACCAAAATTTTTAAGCCATCTTAAGGATTACGATACCAAAACTACATCTCTAGTCAAATCTTAGAGGTGCACCTTATTTCTACATTATAAAAAGGGCACTCTATACAAACTTCACCCATTATATATAGGAAAATTGTTTTATGAAAGCTGGATTGCATTTCTACAATATGATGTCGAAAGGTATAAAGCATCCATCTTAAGGATGGATGCAAACTAGTGGTCAATCTAAAAAACAAGTGTAACTAACGGTCCAAATGTTTTCTTAATATACTTAATATTTGTAGTTTTCAAAAAATAATTTTTTTGTGCATATTCATTATCTCCATGTTAAAGATTATATATACTCTAAAAATTAAGATCAAACTATATTTAAAATATATATTTATTGCCAAGCTCGCATTTCTACACTATGCGGGCTGGCCGCATAAAAACCATGTCCTTCTTTATATTCTATAGTGTAAAAAGGACACCCAACATAAACCTCACCCATAGTGTGTGTGTATATATATATATATGGGAGAAAAGTTTACATAGAGCCTAAGCTCCT